TGTCTGTTGTCCATCAAGTTGTGAGGCTTGCAAATAAAATCATTTGTCTGTTTTATTCAGTCTCCTCAAAGAGCACAGGGGAATCCTGAAAAAATATTATTACTGCACTGCAATGGTGTGCTCACAGTGGCTGAACATTCCTGATGCAGATGCACTGCACTTGAACAAGCACAGCTGACATCCAAACAGGGCAATGAAATACTCACATTTCTCTAATGTGCCAGGATTCTGTGAGCATCAGAAGTACTGCGTCTTTCCAAGATGACTTATTAGATATATTTTGTAGATAGGAGAACATTTTTTGTATAAGGTCTTAAGCAATGTCTACTGAAAGGAATGGGCCACTAAAAGCTGAATAAATCAGTTTTTCAGCCAACAGCTAATCAGGTGTTTGACTTGGCACACGTTAACAAAAATAAAATACTAAAATTTAAAGAGAAAACAGCAAAATAACAACAACAAAAAAATCCCACTTCTCATCGTATATATTTAGCATAACATTTTCATAACAAAACCTATTCATTTCTTATTGGGTGGGTTTGGGTGGTTTTTTTCATTGTGAGATTAACTCATGCTCTGATATTTAGAATATGAAATTCAAGTGAAGGTAAAGGAATAAGAAGCTGAGATATTTTGCGTCTTGGGTTTTTTTCAAAGCCAAGGTACCCAGGCAAGCCCAAAAATATACCAGTGCCAGCTTGTTGCCAATCTCCCCTACATTACCAGCACAAAAATTAATGTCTTCAGTAAAATTTTATAGTAAAATAGCCAGCAGATGGGAATTGTCCCAAGATAGAATCATACCCATTTTGGTACCAAAAATGTGTGATTTTTTTTTCTCCTGTATATCATTCTGTTGGACTTTCAGAAAATAAGAAGCTATACTCATATATTATAAAAAGCTGTTCCTTTGTTTTGCTCTTGCAGTTTAATTAATAATAAGTTTTTCATTTTCACACGATGAAAGTAAATCCAGTAAAAAAGTCACTAATCCATCACTTCACTTTGTTTTGAAAAGAAAACATTAAAAGAATATTATTAAAACAGCCAAACAACAATCAACCCATTGCTAAGAGAAATGTATGTTAAGTTTCATGACACTGTGAAAAGCTAGAGAGACAATAATGGAAATCTAAAGTTTTAAGAACTCAGAACAGAGGAGGTTGTGTGTCTGAAGCATCAGCTGATGGGTCTGTCATCAGTTCTAACTCCAGCAGTCATGACTTCTCAGTGGCCATCACTAACAGGTTCTAAAATTAGTTGATACGTACCATGAGGCCTGGCTGTACCTGAACAAACAAGAGACAGCAAGATATAAAAGGTCACCTTTAAATGCTGTCATGACATTGTCGTGAACATGCTAAATGCTTTTTGAAATAACCTCCTTCATAATTAATTGTGATTATCTCAAATAGACTTTATTTGACTACATGTCATTTTTTTGGCTTCTCATCAGGCTGCAGGGACAAGTGGTATTGAAAATAGTCTTAAAATGAATACTAGATCTCTGAGAAAGCTAGAAAATAATCTTATCATTCATGTAGCTATTTAATCTAGTAATAAAATTATAATGTACACTTCCTGTTCATGCTGTGTTGGTCAAAGAAGAGCAATGTTTTAATTTAAGAGCATGCTTTAAAAAACAAGAACTGCTGTTTACTCTAAGAGTACCTGATCCTGTCCATACTTACATCCCAAAATGTGCCTTTGAAGACAAAAAAATTTGGCAGTCACTTTACAGTTGGGATAAATACTTTAAAGTCAAACAAGTCAATCTTGTAGTAGTCTTGCTTTCCAATCTGCTGAGCACCCTGTGTCTGAGGGAAGGCACAGGTTCCCAATCCTTCCAAGTCAAGGGGAAAGTTAAGTCCCACTGTCAGGATTCAGAAATATTTGGGCACCTCCAAAACCAGCCCCAGGCATTTTCACAATAGGAAATTTTTGCTTTGAAGAAACTTCTGAGGTCCGTGGTAGAGCATGAAAAGAAACCAATACAATTCCTTCTGGCCATTTACTCTGATCTGCCATAAAATTTACATGAACACAACGAGACCAATAAAATCAAATAACATTCTTCCCATTTGGCCTGGTGTAGATTGTAATAGAAGGGCAGAGAAAAATGTGGTTTTATCTACCTTATTCCTAAAAAGCCAATTTATATAATTTTTCTCTTCCACATTTCTTCTACTTTGACTTCACAAAAATTACATAGGCCCTTCCAAAAGTGCTCTTTAGGAATGATCAGTAAAATGTGATTTAAAGATCAAGTTTAACTAAATTTAACCAAAGCATTAAATTTAACTATTAACTTAAACACATTCCTGTGTTTGCACAGTGCCCATTCTCTGCATAACCCATGCTATTTTCCCAGGTCTCACTGCAAACCTGCCATTTCACAAGCTGAGCTGAAGAGTTCAATGGTGCTGCTCAGGATTGCAGAGCCAAACCCCAACCCTTTCTAGGCTCCTCTAAAAGCTGTGCAGAACCTCAGTGACTGCCCAAGGTTCTTGTTCAGTGTGTTGGTACAGCCCCTCGCACCTGAGTGCCAACTCCATAATCCAGAATTTCTATTCAAATCCTGTGATACAGATGTATTCAAACAAAGTTTCCAGAGAAACAAAAAGGAGTTATTCCAGATTTTAAGTGCTGTCATGTCTTGTGATCCATGGAGAAAGGAGATGATCTAGAGGCATGAATATACATCCTTTTGAGATGTTACTCAGAGCATTTCAACAGTAATACTAACCCGATGCTCAAATCTTTCAGGGTTTATTTGTTCATTTTTTATTTTACTGTGTTTTCGGAATAAGCACAGATACTTGGAATGAGGTTATAATTCCTAGTCAGTCCTATAAACTCGATGAAATTTTTGCAATCTCATTATGGAGATTTTCAAATCCAGACAGTCAGTGCATCTGAACCGAGCCTCATGAAGCACCATGTGCTCTCACGAAGCAACACCTGTATCAATTACAGAAACCATACAGAGAGAACTGAGTTGATGCATAGTTCTCATAATTCTTCTAAGGGAATGTAATTATTAAATCCATGGTTTTACTCGAAGAAAAATAAGTTAAAAAGCATTAAAATCCCCATAATAATCTCAAAATTCCAAGAGTCCCAGTCTCTCTCTCAGGAGGTTTACAGTGTTCTTCTCTTTTATAGGTGTATCTAATAGCTCCTAATAACACATCATCTTATGCTTTATCCATAAAGCACCTCCAAAGAATTAAATTAAATACAAGAAAGAAGAAAACCCATTTCTCAACTATAGTTACCTTCAGTTTATTTAAAGACACAAAAACGATACCTGTGTTACTGCTATCTTCTCCATACAAGTATCACAGCTTTGGATTCCACTGACAGTCAGAACCAGCACACAAAACTGAGTTTGAAGAAAGCATGTGCTGAATGGACATCAAGAGCTAATGGTTTGTGGCTGCTCTGGCACACTCCATGTTTTGTTAAAATCCAATTTAGAGATGCTTATTATTAAGTAAATATTACTTTATAATGGAACATTCTTTCATTCATGTAAATAAAACTGGGGTATTCCTTCCCGAACAGTATCACCTACCTTGTCCATTTATTTAGTACCAAACACTACAGATTCCAGAGCTGGAACCACATCTACACAATTAGTTCTTCTAAGACTCACTGCATTTATAATGAAAATAATTCAGGATAGCATATACAGGTTATAGAAAGCAGTTTGCAATCTCACTGAAAAGTGCATCTTCATTTAATGCCCTTTTTCCCTACCACATTAAAATTTTTTAACTTAAAAACATTTTCATTCCAGTTTGAAGGAATGTTATGTGTAAATATCTTTAGTAGCACTGACCACAAGACTGGGTCACCAGTGCCCATTCACACATGAACAGGTGCTCCATTACAAAAACAATATAAAAATCATTGCAAAAGTCAGGTTTTTTAGGATCTTACTTCAGTGGCATGGAATAAAGATGATACATTTGCCTTAACTGGAAAAATGAGGAAAAAGAAGGAAGTATTATAATTTTCTACCTCTTACTGACAGTGTGAACTACAAAGGCTTTGGTAGATTTTAGTGAGATAAGCTTACAAAGACGTTGTTGATAGTTCTTTGACTTCTGCTTGTTCAGAAATCTCAGAAGAACACTACTTAGCAATGGATATGTGCTGAAAATAGGAAGACCTTGGCAAGTATCTTGTAATTAGCCTGAAATATGCAAACACAATCGACTTCTTTCTTTTTCATTAAAGATTCAGAATTGACCACTGAATTAGGAAACAAAAAGAATATCTGCTTAAAGAACATAAAAAACATGAAGACCAACAACTTTCCATTTCATGTAACAGCACACTTTTGGCTCAGGTTATTCTCCAAGGAAAGTTATAAACAGGATAACCTGCTACCATGCTTATACTATTGCAAACTTAGTTACCAAACATGCTTTTCACCTGCAGCAGTACTGGCCCACTGTAAATGAGAGAACAAAGTCCATGTCCCAGTTCTGGCCTTTTTCCCCTTGGCTGCTGGGGCAGTGGGTGTCGGAGGTGATAGTAACATGCTCAGCACCTGGAGGGAAAAAGTGCTGCATGTCCCACACCAATAATTATGAATCCTTAAATCTACTGGAGTCATTAAAGAAGGTATGGCACTTTAATCCCTCGTTTAAATAAGCACAGCCACTTTGTAGATGTTTGGTTACTTTCCTTGTCCAAAGTCCCTTGTAATTAGTTTTGAAATACAAATCCAATATTCATCACTGCCTTCTCTTGTTTTTGTCTGTTGTGGCTCGGTGAGTCTCAACACAGCTCAGGGAGCACTGGCAAAATTGCAACTCTGCAAGTACACACTTATCATCATCATCATCTGACCCTTTCAGCATAAATTAAGAACAATGTTATTCAAAAGCACTTCCAAGCAAGAAATAAGAATGTGCTACCCTATCAATGTGTTAAGAGGTAAAGACACAGACATACATACAAAACATCAGTAATAATTTTTTCCTTACTTGACTTTACTTGCTCTTCCTGTGCTATTCCAATATCATCGGAATCAGACAGTTCCTTTATGAAGTTGGAAGGAAACATGCCAGTCTTTCCATTTAGTATTCCTTCCCACCAGCCCTCTTCCACCTGCACCAAGACAAAATAAAAAAAAAGGAGGTTTAACATAAGCAACACTTTGCTGAGTCATGTTATATACATTCAATAAATGACAATAATGACTCTGAACAGTTTATATTAATTTCAGGTGTAAGGAGCACATGGCATAGGCTCCAAGCCAGAACATCTCTTTTTTTTTGGATAAGTGATGCATGAGCCCATCTGTAAATGTCAGCAGTGCTGACAGCAGTCAGGAGCATGGATGAGCATTAAATAAAAGGATAAAAGAACAACTAGAGAGCATACGGTTTCTCTACATTTCAATTTTTATGGCAGTCCATTCAATCACTAAATTTTCTGTGCACACTGGATGACTATTCAAGACAAACTTAAATGGATGTGTTTTGCAGATTCTGAGTCTGAATTCCCTAAGTAATCAAAGGTGAAAGAGAAATACCCATGAAAGGCTACTCAGAGAATCTAAAATAGGTATCTTAAATAATGTGAATATTCCTGCCTTCCCCATCAAAATCTGAATTTCGTTATTTTAAAAATTAAGAATTTTGCTACTTCATTAATTTGTTAACGTAAGAAATCTGCAGAGAACAAAGAACAGTGCTAATGAATATCTGACTCCAGATTTACAGAAGCACTGAGATACATAATAATGATGGTGTCACAAGGAGGAGGGACACCACCTAGCCAAATCCCAAGAGGAAAATATCACTTTAATATTACAAACTCCCTCCTGTATAACCCATTCAGCACTGAATGGTGGTGTCAGGCAGTGAAATGACAGCCCTTAGAAACCAGATGCCTTTAGGTTATAATGGGACAGCAAGAAACGACTTATTATATGCATCAGCTAAACACACCCTTGATAGGGAAACATTTTTCATCTGTCAGACACTGTCCTTTCACCAAAAAAGATGACAGGGGAGGACAGTGTCAATCTGTGACACATTAGTCTTCAATGAAGTTTGACACATCTCTTTCCCGCCTACCCTCCCCTGACAATTATGAAAATAGAAAGTCAACTGAAATAGAAAGGCTGAGGGTGCTCACATTTACTGTTAAAAAAAAGAATCTCACATTTTAAATGAAATTAGTTAATTATTACAGCAAAAAAGTCCACTTCCTATCACTTATCTATGTAAAGCTTGAGTTCTTAGAAAACTCTTAATAATATAACCCAATATTTCAAAAAGATATGGAGGAATGTATGAATTTCTTTCAACTTAGTCACACATACAATTTTACTACAAAACCTCACGTTTCTTTTGGTCTTGAGCTGAATTTTTGTTTTAATTCAAAAGGAGTTTAGACTAGACTTTCATTTAATCTCAGTACCTGTCCCTGACAAAATTTGCCCCCCTCCAATCCACCAGTAATCTTGGTGAGCTCTAGCACAACTCTGGGCGTTATCTTGCTCTTCTTATTATCTTGCTGTTAATTCAGAAGATAGAATACATACATATCGCTCAATCACTTCAGTGAGGTGGAGGTTTTTCACATTATAGTAATAAAGTCTCTAAAAGGCAATGTTCCCTTTCTTCTCTCCAGACCAATAATAAACAACATGGAAAACTGCAACTGCATGACACACAACATTTAGTAGGCAAATTATATATCTACATAGAAATACGTACAAATTATGTATCTAAATACAGCATGATATAAATATTATAAACCCATAAAAATATTATATCGTGGTATATGGAAAATACACAAAATGGCCAAGACTCTTTGAGCAATAAAATATTTCCATTTTTCTAATGCAGTATTCCCAGGTGACTATATTGACTAGAGCTAAACACTAAACCATAACTGCATTAGCTGATTGACCAGAAAATTAATCAGAGGATTTACACAGTTCCCACGATCCTTGCTTTGCAAGATGCTGAGAATATCTGACACAAGTAATGTGACCGATATCATGCAGTTTCATCTTCTCCTCAAGTAATTTCCACCTGCTTACTTCTTCCAGGGCAACACTTCACAGTTTCCTTACAGTTAACACCAGCACTCTTCATGTGGCATGTTGATGTGTGGATCCTTATATGTGTGTATAGAAATATTCATATATACAAAGATCTTTAAATAGGTAAATCTAAACTGGATGTGAATATACTCACAGCATTCATTAGCTTATTGTAAGTTTTCCATCTGACTGAAAAAAATAATTCCTTGATAATACCATGCTGTATTCAATAATTCTGCAACTTCAGAAAAAAATTTAAAGCAAAACCCAGATTTTTTTCTACAACAAAATGTAGAATCATGTTAGCAAGACATCAGAGGTTCAGGTCAAACTGTGCCTCCCAAAGATTTATTAGGAAATTTTCATCAAAATGATCAAAAGCTTCAAGTATTTTTAAACACTATAGCTACCTGTACATAACTTTAAGCCTCAAAACACAGCAGCTAGAGATAAATCCATGCAATAGAAGACACTAAAATACCTCCAGGATTTAAGTTATCCCAAACTGGGGCAGTCCATTACCATATGGTTTGAAAAGTTGCAATAATTCACAGCGAATAAAACCTTTTAAATGAAAATCCATTATTCATGGTGGTAATCTGTCTAAAGGCACGAGCTCAATAAAATTTGTTGCCATGCTATTATAACAAAGTGCTTCCAGAATTTATACATCTAGGTCCTGATTTATGGCCAGCATTCATGTGCTGAACCAAACAATCTAAAAAGAAAAGGATTTCATTCAGCAATCCATGTCTCTATGCTGGATAAGAAGTTCTAAGATTCATTTTCTACACATCAACTGTAAGATCAGCCTGAAAATGAAGGTTTGTTTTTTTTTTAAGTCAGAAGAGGGATCTTTCCAATCTGCCAAATGTAAGTGGATACAGCCAGAGATATTTTTAAGATGTATTTTTAGTGGGTTTTATCTGTTCACTGCCTTTTGGAGAGGCAGGGCTCATCCTCATCTTGCTAAGCCCGTAAGCTGCCAGTACTGTCACACCACGTTTGAAGAGCAACAACATATAGGAACGTGACTGCAGATACTTCATTACTCTGCTTCATATATTTAGGAGGTAACAACAAATGCACTCAACTGCAACTCAGTAAATGCCACGCATGGGGCAGGGACAGATGCAATTTGCAACCTAACACCTGGCGTGATTGAATGAGATACAAATGAGCAATGCCACCAGAGAATGGTTCAGCAGCTCTAGAGACTAAACTCACCCCATTAAGAAGCCTGGCCTTTGGGATTTAGTCCATATAATAATTATGCAACATCCAAATGTTCTTCCAGTATCACTGGGCTTTAGTTTTTTTAAAATTTGCAATGAGGAAAGAATATTTGTGCTTTGGTTGTAATTTATTTACTCAACCACTGGAGCCTTCTTTAATGTAAATGAGCTTTTTGTAAACCATAAGCCAAATATAGATGAAAATAATTGGAAATATACTGTTCTATTTTGTGAGAAGGTAAATGTTTAATCAAATTTTGAGATCCCAGCACACAATATATATAATGGCCAGTCTCTTCGCGAACGAAGAACCGGGGAAGGTCTTTCCACCTTCCAGCCTGCGCATTGGATTTTTTAGGTGAGACACAGTGTGCGCGGAACTGAGCCCACCCTTTAATCCTGAGGTTCATCTGCCGGGGCCAAGCACGCTTGGACGGTGGCAGCGAGGTCGAGGTTGCAATAGTTAATTTTACTTACAAGTAATAATATAAATGAGAAATAATAAATTAAGTACTCAAAAAAGATACCATGGAAGTGGACAGACAGGAAAATAACAGAGAATTATATGAGTGAGGCATTCAGACACACAAACACGAAGTTCTCCTAAGGATATACAGATACTAGGACATTAAGCTGCTTAGAAAGCAACAAAAATTTATTGAAATCAGCCTATTTCCATGCTTAAAGTGTTAAAAGAAAAAAAAAGCGCATTTCAAGCCTTCAGGCAAATATAATAATTCTATTTCAGACCGGGAATAGAGTTTTATTCTGTAACTGTAAAGCAACCAAAGAAAACAAAATCACTTCAGTAGGTCACTAGGACTACAAGACTAGAGACAATTCAAAAATGAGAACATCTCTTATTTTACAGTCTTCACGTTTTTCCTTCACTGCCAGTACAATCTGCAACATCCCCCTTCAAAGAAAGACAAGTCAGCCTGACCTGCAGTGCAGCAAACCTTTGCTGCCACAAGTCTTAGAAGCACCTTCTCTTGAGAGAACGGGGGGGCCATCCCTGTAACTCACGACAGGATACCCAAAACCAGCAGGAAATGCTGAGACCAACTGCCAGCAGCTGCTTGCCAGAATATCTGGGACTGCCACAGCTGCTTGCTTACACCTTGCTATATAATTAATAGGCTAAAGTTGTTAAATTATTAAAGTGTTCAGCTCCTGGGAATCACTGACCTAAAGTGTATTTCCAATAAATTCCTGTATTGGTTCATTCTACAAGATTTTCTAAAACCTACAGCTTTGCCTGTTGTGATGTCAGACTACTTTACAGCTTAGGGCAGATGAGGGAGGCTCTGAGTCAGGAAAGGTTTCAGATGGAAGGAAGTCACCCTGGATCATGACAGAGTTTTTCTGGGCTGCTAAAACCAAAACACAGTCCCAGGAACAAAAGCAATGCCAGAGGCAGGCAACAGGAAGGAGAGAAGCCCAAGGTCAACAAATTTTCTTTTGCTTTGAGAGAACCAGAGCACAGAAAGCAAAGGAAAAATCTCCCTTAGTTTATAAATTCTAACGGAAAATCGTGAGCTCAAAGGACAAAAGCAATCATATGTTGAAAGGAAATTAAAAACATAGATTCCCAAGAGGCAAAATAAACAAATCACATTCACTGCCAATGGGAAAATAAATTTTGGACACAAGACCTCAACAGAAGATGGTGCCTACAGTGCCACTTGATGGTTTATTCTCGGACTGCATTCAGAGGAGCTGTACCCATGAGAAACCAACCATCCCTCGGGACTCTCATTACAGCATTCTGTTTGACAGTTCGGGTACAGAAGGTAAGAATTACAAACTGCACAAGTACATTGTATTAGGGAATCTTTTCAGCTTCAGAGTTCTTTATTTTACAATGTCAAAATGTGCTTGGGGAATTTTTGTTTGGTTGGTTTTGGTCATTCGTGGCTTTATTAAATTTTTTTAACATTCTCTTCTAAAAAAAGACACTGAAGGGCAGTGAAAGAAATCACACAGAACTGGGATGACCCTATCCCTATATAGACTCGTCAGTATTTGCACCCTTATTTCCCCTAAAAAAGCCTCCTACCGCATGAACTAACCAAACAAGAACTAGTCACAAAAGTCCTTGTGAACAACCTGTTAGAAGAGGATCCAGAAAAACACTTTACCACAGCATTCCACAGAAAAGTAACTGAGAGATGTGAAACCCCAGCATTCATCCCCAGCTGTTTTCTTGCATATTGTACAGCTCTGCAGTTGTGGCACAGACCATCCCCTCGCTACAGTTAAATATTCATTCTCCTTTCAACTCTATAGCTGCCAAAATAGGTCACTGTAAGAAAACTCCAGCTCAATCCCCAGTTTATCCTGTTCTTGGACATGGGTTGCACCACTTTATGTCACAATAAGAACAAAAAAACCTATCCACCAATCTTGCCCATAAGAAGCAACCAATTTGTGAAGATTCAGTCTGTATTTTTATAATTTCAAATGAGCTACAGATAGGATTTGATCATGTAATATATGGCAACGTTACCTATAAGTCAAAGAATACGCTCAGTGGTATTACCGAGTGTCTCAGTCAAACACTTGGGAGCTTAACTTCATGCAATACCCACTGCCAAAAAGCTGACTTCTCAGCAGGATGAGGCCAAAAGGCACATAGCAGCACGACGACAGACTGATCCCAAACGAAAGCAGGCTCAGAGCCACTGAATGACGTGCCAAATGTCCCTACTCTGATGCTGCAGGTTAATTATCTGGCATCCCAAGAAAGTCTAAGGGTGAAACATAATTGGAATTCAGATATCTGCATTTAATAAGACAATTAGTTACAGTTGTATTTTGGGACAACTTTAATTAGAGTTATAGCTAATGAGGTAGGGAAGTGACAAGCAAAAAGCTATCAATCACACAATAAATGTGAACACAAACAATGATGAAAATGCTTCCCTTGTTAAGTTTTAAATGTACTTTTAATTTAAGTCTGTTAATTAATGTCTCATGGGTATCAGTGTCTCTGTAGTTATGGAAACCTCTATTTGAACAACAAGCATTTTATCTATTGTGCTGAACATTTGATCTTAACATTATTAATTTCTAACTATTTAGGACAAATAGAAAGGAACTGAATTCTTAACATATACAGCCTCCAAGGACATCCATCTGACAACAACTCACACTTGCTACTGTTTTAATCCACTCTACAGCCCCAGACCACTTCTGCCAGAATAGGAATTTCCAGTTTTATCTACCACCACTACAGACATAAAAACCCTTTCAAAAGTATCACATCCAATCTGTTGGCATCAGGAAGAAGGATCTGGGCAGCTTTAGATGCTACTACACCTCCACACTCTGAAGCAGAGGTGGGAGAAGGGAAGACATCCTCATCCTCAGCACCTCACCACGTGATGTCAGTGTAACCTGTTTTTACTGGGAGTCTGGGGAAACACACTTGGACACTGTAGGAGGCAGCCGACACTCGTGTTCCCTTCTGTCAACCCTGTGCTGGAGGCAGTGAACTCGAGTGGCTTTGAGGAAGAGCAGAACACACTTCTTTAAGGATAAAACTCCATTAACATTTTTTGCAACAGCAGAAGTTTAATGAGTTGTCAACCACAAGCAACATTTTAGGACTTTTTTTTTGCTCAATACCCACATAAAGATACATAGACAGTATTTGACCTAAACAACACCAGGTTCAGTTTGCCATAAGTCAGTTAGGAATCAATTTGTTTTCAACTAAGCAGAAATCCATACATATTTGAAAATATTAATCTAAGTCAATTTAAAACTAATTAATTCAACTGATGCAACTTTCTTAGGAGGAGACAATAATATACTATCTATGGGAATCTGAAACCTACTCATGAATAAAAAGATGGGGTAAGAGAAAGGAGCAACTGGAAATGGAAAGTAAATGAACATTAATGTTCCATTAATGTTACATACTGAACCACTGTAAATAATGCTGAAGATGTCATCCAGTTTTTAACCTTGAGTAATGATAAACAAAATTCATGTTTTACAAGAATTGTCTCAAATTGTTGCCTATGTGGGAGGGTTTTTTGCTACTGTTTTGGATTTTTTTTTGTACAATAACACAGCATGATTTTGGCCCTTGCAAAAACAAAACAAAACAAAACACCTCAGTTCTCACAACTGAGAGAGTAATATTTTTCAATTGTATAATGACATTAACACTGTGAATCCTATTTCAATGACTCTTTGTGCAGCATTACCTAAAAGCAGAAGGGTAAAAAGTGAAATCAGCACATTGGTTGGTGCAACTTCTTGCATAAGATAAAGCTCCTGTTTCAAAATAAGTATTCTGCCCTACTTTCTCGAGGAATTGACACTACTATGATAAGAGCAGAAGAGGAAGTAATAATAATAAGTTTTCGACATCAAACATGATTGGTATCAATCGTGACAGAAAATACAGGTCCCACAATAACACTTCCCAAGGCACTGAGAATTTCTTCTCTAGATTCCTATTTTCCCTCTCCCACCAGCCAATCTAGTTCCATCCAAAAGTCAGACAATGCTCTAAAATGCATGAATGCACCAGACGAAGCCCAAAGCTGACCTTGTGTTTCAGCAGCTGACAGAACAGGGTATTTTATAAGGTCAAAGTGGGCACAGCCTCACCTCTGTCAGCTGTTCTTCAGCATTTACTTATGACCAGCATTCAAGCTATCCACCAGCAGTCCTGTTCCACACTACAGTACAACTAATTCCATCATGACATTCTTTATATCTGCAAATCAAAAAAGCAGTCCTAGACAATACATTTTCTTAAACCTTAAAATAAGAAAGTTGTCAATGTTTTCCTCAACAGTAGCAATTCAGGATACAAATTTGAGTTTTAGGCTAGGAAGTCTGTAATCAGCAATCCAAGTGGGTTTCAAAAAACATGGCCGTAACTATAAGAACACACATGCAAGTACATGGAATGTTTCACTTTCATAGTTGTACATTTTTCAATTTTAATGCAACTAATTTCAGTCTCATTTGGATATAAATGAATCTGGTTTTTATAATTAAGTTGCTCAAATTTAGAAAAAGACAAGAGCTGCATTTCATAAGAGAAGCCTCGTGTCTCATCTAAATTATTTAATTACTCACTAATTATTTATTCATTTGGTAGGGTTAGTTTGTTGGCTGGATGCTGGGAAAGAGTTTAATTCCATCAATTTACCCTGGAAAGACATAGACTTAGAAGTTTTAAGAAATATGTCTATGGCCATGTGAGGTCAAATGTACCTCAAATTGCCCAATGAAAACAGCTTATGTGATGTCGTGAAACGTGTTATAATATCAAGTTTACATTATCTTCAAAATATGCTCCTAAATATCTTACAACCTTGAATTCTTCCATTACAAAACCGTTCACAGACAGAATAAGGTTATTTAAGTGGCACATCATGCCTGATTCCAGGAAGAATGATGTGCAGAGCTGGCATGCACAGCTAGGTTCAAGCAAAACCGGTGATCACTAAGCTTCTTACATTCAAAAGTGAGAATTTAATCTCTCATAAGAAAATGTTGGATGTCATGTAGATTGCAGTAGAATTTATATTCTTTTAGAACTGATTTTTTAAGGGACAGATGTAGGAAAAAGTAAATTAAATGTATATCCTTGGCAAGAAAATATATGTTGTCGTACTAACTCCTGAGTCACAGGGGAGGAAAAAAATCTTACAAATAAATGACACAAGCTGAAACACACCTTTTATTGGCTGCTTGAGCAGACTAAAGTCTTAGATCTTTTTAAAGCGTAAATGAGTCTGAATACATTCTAGTTAAAGAGTGCATATTATCATTTTGACTTTGGTTCTTTGTGCTATTAAACTCAAGAAGATACTTGTAAAATCTCTAATGGAACGCTGAAGGTATTGGGAGCGAACACCATTCCTTGATACTACAAATTTACCCACACAAAGAAAATTTCTCTATCTCTGCCAAAGCTTTTGTAATTTGCCCCCAGTCCACCTAAGGTTTTCCACATCTATTCGCACCCAAAATAAGTGAATCTCAAGTCTCAAATATTTTGTTTGGTTTTTTTTTTTTGCTTGGTTTTAGGGTTTTTTTAAACTGATTACACTGAAATGAAATTCTTAAAGCTTGCTGGCAAAGATGACAAAAGGTGAACTCCACTGGAGATTCATGTAAATTTCTTAAATGTGTTTAACTTTGCAAAGGTAATTTGCCCAGTGACTGGTTTACTAAAACTGTGAAAAGCTTGTTCTGACACAATCTTTGGTTCTTCAGAGATACAAAGTCAAGAGCTCTGCAGAACAAACTTAGAGCTCTTTCCCTGAACAGAACTCTGAAGCACCAATTGATTCAGAAAAACCAGCAGAAGTGCTATAAGGAAAAAAAAAGTCACGAAATCCATTAAAAAATCAACAACATCCTTTCATGCCCAACAGTAATCCATACCAGACAGGTCTATATACCAGAAAAGAAAAATGTCTGGTTTAAATTATTTCTTAAAACACACTGTATTGAAGAGTTTAGCATGCACAAAATATGTCAGCACTGCATGTGTGTACAGTCAACTAAAGATGTGCTCACCTCTCCCACAACTTCAATGATGTCACCAACTTTTAATTCCAGTTCATCTTCATTTTGAGGCATATAACTGAAAGCCACCTGACATCTCCTTCTTCTGTTTCTCTCTCCTGATGGAAATGAAAGAAACAGGGAAATCGTAAAATGAAAACAAAATTCCATGCCAAACACAAGCCAGGGGAAATTATAAAGGATGAAACATGATTCTTTGAGCACTCTTATCAGAATCTGAATGCTTACAATGCTTAGTCTATCTGCCCAGAATTAACTTACAAAAAGAGGGTAGAGAAAAGATTTCTGGTGCTTATTATTTTTTCAACTATGTCTATAATTCAATGCAATTAATAAATGCAAATAAGTTGTGTGGATTTTTTTCCTTTCTGTAGTGTTATTCAAGAGTCAAAATTTAACTACTTGTGCTTCCTAGTGACAGGACAGACAAACTTTACCCAAAGGATCTTTCCAGGTGTATTTGCTCCAATTTCTCTTCTAGGCTAATGCTCTATACACATGCTGTAGGTAAATTGGAGGGATGGGAAAGGGATCCAAAGCCTTGTGGCTTTTGCTCATAAGGAAATAAGCTCTCAGCTGTATCATTTTGTACACAAATCTTTCACAGGTGTGCAAATGTCTCACTAACCATTTTTATACTTTTTCTTTTCATAGAACCATTTAGGTTGGAAAAGACCTTTAAAATTGTTGAGTACAGGATTGTTGAGTTAACACAGCACTGTCAAGTCCACCATTAAACCATATCCCTAAATTCCACATCTACATCTTTTAAATACCTCCAGGGATGATGGCTCCACCACTTCCCTGGGCAGCCTGTTCCAATGCTTGACAAACCCTACTGTGAAAAAATTTTTCCTAATATCCAATCTAAACCTCCCTTGGCACAACTTGAGGCCATTTCCTCTCATCCTGTCACTTGTTATCTGGCAGAAGAGACTGACCCCCCACCTGGCTACAAACTCCTTTCAGGCAGTTGCAGAGAGAGACCCTTTTAAACAAACCCAGCTCCTTCATCCGCTACTCCTAAGACATGTGCTCCAGACTCTTAACCAGCTCTGTTACCCTTCTCTGGACATGATCCAGTGCCTCAATGTCTTTCTTTGCAGTGAGGGCCCAAAACTGAACACAGGATTCGAGGTGTGGCCTCACTGGTGTCAAGTATGATCATTAGACTTGGGTGGATCCCACCCAGGCCCACAGACTTATATGTAAATCAGTGGTGTAGCAGGTCACTGACCTTTTCCCCTTGGATTACAGGACCTTCACTCTGCTCCCCATCCCTTTCTTATAACTCAGGGGGATGGGTACATGGAGTACAACTATTAAAGACTGAGACAAAGAAGACATGGAATACCTCTCTTTTCCTCATTCTTTGCCACTGTTCCTCCCCGATCCAACAAAGAATGGAGAATCTCCTTAGCCCTTTGGTTGCTAATGCATTAATAGAAACCTTTTTATTGCCTTTTACAGTAGGGGCCAGATTAAATTCTAGCTGGGTTTTGGCCCTTCTCATTTTCTACCTGCATAACCTCCCAAAATCCTGCCCCATTTTCCAAAGGTCGTAAACTCTTCTCTTTTTCCTGAGTTCCAGCCAGAGGTCTCTGTTCAGCCAGGCTGGTTGTCTTCCTCACTGGCTCATCTTTTAGCACAAGGAGATGGCCTGCTCCTGCACCAATAAGATTTCCTTCTTGAAGAATAAGATGTCCAGCCTTCCTGGACTCCTTTGCCCTTCAGGACTGCTCCCAGGGGACTCTCTCAACCAGTCCTCTGAATAGGCCAAAGTCTGCACTCCAGAACTCCAAGGGTGCTGCTGTTCTGCTGACGCCCCTCCTTACTCCTCCAAAAATTGAAAACTCTTATTATTTTGTGATCACTTTGCTCAAGACAACCTCCAACCATCACATCGTGCACCAACCCTTCTCTGTTCACAAACAAGAGGTCCAGCAGAGTGCCCTCCCTAGTTGGCTCCCTCACCAACTGTGTCAGGAGGTCACCTGCCAAATGCTCTGGGAACCTCCTGGACTGTCCTCGACTCCCTCCTCTCTGCTGTGCTGTATTTCCAGCAGACATCTCGTAAGTTGAACACCCCTATGAGAACAAGGGCCAGCGATCTTGAGACTTGTTCCATGCACTTATGGAATATTTCATTTGCCTCTTCATCCTGGGTGGGTGCTCTATAACAGACTCCCACCAGGATATCCGCCTTGTTGGCCTTCCCCTTGACTCTTACCCATAAACACTCAAGCCTGTTGTCACCATCATTAAGCTCCAAACAATCAAAACACTCCTAATGCAACACAGCTACCCCACTGCCTCTCCTTGCCCGTCCCTCCTGAAGGGTTTATATTCATCCATTGCAGCACTTTGGGTGTGTCATCCCACCTGTGATGGCAGCTGTGTCATCATTTTCCTGCTGCACAATGGCTTCCAGCTTCTCCTCTTTGTTGTCCATGCTGCATGTGTTGGTGGGGATGCACTTTAGTTGTGCTGTTGATACTAACAACTTTCTGGGGGGAGAAGCCCCAATTCCTCTAGGACTGTTCTCAAGTGCTCCTGTGGTTTCTGAAGTGACAGTGGCCCTTGTCGTGTATCTTTGCTATTGCATGGCTCTTCAACCCCTACCATCACTGAGACAGCAGACCAAAGGACCTCGTTTGCACACCATCCCTCAAACACTGGCCTTGGACTTACCTCTACTGACCCTGATCTTATCCTTTTCTGCCTTCAAACCTAGTTGAAAGCTCTTCAAATGAGCTCTGCTAATTCCAGGGCAAGGATTCTGTTCCCCCTGTTGCCAACAGACCTGCTGTTGTGTAAACCGACACATGAGGAAAAAAATCAAAATTCTGCCCGTGACACCAGGCTGGGAGCCAGGTATTGACCTGCTGGCTTACGTGCCATCTTCTTCTCTCCTTTCCCTCTGACTGGAAGGGCAGAGAAGAATGCTACTTGTGCTCCTGATTCCCTTAAGCAGTAGTCCTGAGGCCCTGAAGAATCAATCTCCTGATTGCCCTCGGGCTTGCAGTTGCAACTTTATCAGTGCCTACCTGAGAAATAAATAATGGACAATAATCTGGGGGCTGTACCAGGGTAGGAACTTTTCACATGTTCAACCCAGGCCCCACGGAGGTTGCAGGCTTCCCAAAGAAGGGAGCCCAGCTGGCACAACGGGCCTTCTGTTGCCTTCAGGAGACAGTCTCCTATGACGACTTGTCTTTTTGGTTTTATGGAAGCAGTTTTGACATAGGGCATAGCCTGACTTAACCCTGGTGCCATCTTTATGCCAGATAAACCATCGTCCCTGCTGTTTGGTTCCACTGGCAGAGCCTCACACCTGTTATGCCAAGGCACCTGTGGAGGTGGGGCATCCACAGAGGAGATGCACCTGCTGCACCAGACAGGAACTTCCATATACACACACACACAGAGATACATGTGTATGTATTGTATTATTTCTGTGTATGGGAGCCCCTGGTGGTCTAGGGGAAAAGACACTGCACTGTCACTGCAGAGACCCGGGTTCGATTCCCAGTCGGGGCCCCTCCCCGGGCAGATGGAGCTCGTTAGCCCTGTAAGGCAATCCATCTACGTCCTGAGGACCTCGCTGCCACCGTCCAAGCGTGCTTGGCCCCGGCAGATGAACCGCAGGATTAAAGGGTGGGCTCAGTTCCGCGCACACTGTGTCTCACCTAAAAAATCCAATGCGCAGGCTGGAAGGTGTAAAAACCTTCCCCGGTTCTTCGTTCGCGAAGACTGGCCATTACTATTTCTGTGTACACATATATTTGTAAGATGCGTATTTATGCACTAATATTTGATTAAAGAAAATAGAAGGAAAATCATTGCCATGGGGTTAGTGGAGTTAAGACAGGCTAATTTTGGAACTGCAACTCATGTCACCAGTCATCTTCCTCTTCCAGTTTGGATGTCTAGGCTTCCATGAGAAGCTGGTATGAGTGCACATCTTTGGATGCACAATTGAAGAGTCGTTTGAATCCATAGCTTTGATCCTTCTACCATCACAGTTTTCAGACAGATGACTGAAAATACTCTGTTCCAGAGTTTGTTTGCCAGATCTGTTGGCTTACATGTAATTACAGTTGGCTGGTGAAGGGACTTGAACACAAGCTCTATGAGGAGAGGCTGAGAGAGCTGGGGCTGTTTAGCCTGGAGAAGAGGAGGCTCAGGGGTGACCTCATCACTCTGTACAACTACCTGAGAGGAGGTTGTAGCCAGGTGGGGGTTGGTCTTTTCTCCCAGGCAACTATGAGTGAGACAAGAGGGCTCGGTCTGAAGTTCTGCCAGGGGAGGTTTAGGTTAGATGTTAGGTAGAAATTCTTTACAGAGAGAGTAATCAGGCACTGGAATGGGCTGTCCAGGAGGTATTTAAGAAGAGACTGGATGTGGCACTTGGTGCCATAGTCTGGTAGCTCTGGTGGTGTTGGATAAAGGGTTGGACTTGATGATCTCAGAGGTCCTTTCCAACCCATCTGATTCTATGACTGTTGTATGAGATGAGAGAACCACCCTAAGTAAGTTGCTGCTTAGCCTTTGTTTGCTGAAGGATAACTTTCTGATACGAATCATGACTGTGTTGGAATGTGATGAAGGACCAGAAGGTAGGAAGGGAGAAATTATTCAAAACACAGGATTCACTGACTATTCTCTCTTCTCTAGAAGCTGTGTAGTGTATAAACCATGCTATTTGTACCCACACAAACATATACACACACTCCACACAAGTAAATGTACTTTCTCTTATGCTATTTCTCTTAACTGTTAAACACACTCAATACACACAAAAATGGTTTGTGTAAATCCTTTCCAAGCATGGCCTTAATCTGAAATTAAATTACAGAAATAGATCTTATAGTGAGTCTGTTTTTTGTTCTGCAACATTTCTTGATAATCCTGCTCTAGGGAAAACAGTGATAAAGAAGTTATAGATTTTTTTTCCTAATCTATTAATTGAAACTAGAGAAAGAAAGGAGAAGGGAATCCACTGGTTTTGGCTTTCTGACAATATTTTTCACAGCCACTGCAATCCTGCACGAGTGGCAGCTTTTTGAATGTCAAAATTAATACCTTAATGCAGTAT